CTCTATGTTACACCATGCATATAAGTATTCATAACACTATTTAATATTTGGTGTATAACATCAGTTATATATATATCTGTTCAAAATGCACAAATATATTACATGTACACTGTCAATGTGTTGTTTCAAACAAAATATTTCTAACAATGTAAAAGAAATAAACAAATATTATAAAATATACAAAACTATCTAAAATCATTATACATCAGTACACTGGTACAACATTCCAATGAAGCAGTACCAAATATGGAAACATGAGTTCATGCCGTACAGATCCTCAAACCCAATCAAAACTGCAGAAATACTGAAAGAGAAACAGGACAAAGACCGATCACAGTGGCTGCAGATTCTAAGGCATAAACTGTCTTCTTTGCCTGCTTGTACACTGAGGTCATGAATTTGAATTCCACTTGAGGCATGGATGTTTGTCTAGGTTTATGCTGTTTCTGTTGTCCTGTGTAGGTAGCAGCCTTCTGATGGGGTGATCACTCGTACAAGGAGTCCTACTACTGACTGTCTATAATATTAAGAAACTGAAGTGAAACAAAGTGTTTATGGATGTCCTATGCTCCGGAGGAAGCAACAGGAATATGAATGAATGAATAGGACAAACATATAATACAGGTTTTGAATACCTTCAGACAAATGAATAATTGAACTTTAATCTTAGGATGACGTGACCCATTGGCTGGAACACTGTATGGCATCAATGCTATTGCTTAGCAGCCAGTATGGTGAGGAAAGAACAGACAGGAATCTGATCATGTTGGAGACCATGCCATTATAGGATAAAGTCATCAGACAGGATATCAATTCTTCACCACAGTATCTGAAAGTCCATCAATTCTACAATTTTTAGTACAGTTTCATTTTTTAAGACAAGAAAGTGGGCTTATGATACCATGCTGCCTGTGTGTGTCTGTCTACCTTTCAACTGCTGAACCAGTGAACAGTGTTAATGAAATTTAGCATGAATCTTGTGCCATTTGATAACACCCCAAAACATACTTCTTATAATCCTACAATCAATAATAGCACGAAGACAGTCACATGATGATATGGAAGGAACATTAGCCCAACTTAATTTAGGGCCCGGAAGTAACACATGGTAAAAGACCTTAAAAAATGACTTGATATGGAACATCACATGAAGAGGATGAGGACTACAATTAATGTATTATCACATGCTAAGTGACTATAGATGGGGTTTGGATTGGTAACTGGATATACTGCACACTTGGAATTACAAGTAACTATAATGCTGCACAAACCACTATAACTCACACTAATCTTATCAGCTTGTTATAGCATACAAAGTTTTGGAAGGAAAACCTGAAGGAAAGATACCCACTAGGGAAACCTATGTGTACATGGGAGGATAATATTAAAATTGATTTTATAGAAAAGGGATGGATGGATGTGGGCTGGAATCCATATGACTCAGGATAGGGATTAGTGGTTGGCTCTTGTGAACACAGCAATGAACTTCTGGGTTCAAAAAAGTGTTCTTGTTTTTTTAAGTGCTCAGCAGTTGTTGGCGGATTCTCAAAAGGAGCTTGGCTACATGCAGTCAGTTGGGCTGTTAAGAGAGGTTCCATGCTGCCCCCTATAAATGAAAGAGCTCTTGTTGTGTGTGATCTAGATGTGCTCTGTTAACTTTTGTGGAATGTTGGTATTACTGAAGAGAACAAGCGAAGCGGCAAAGGTATGATGGTAAAGCAGTGTGGCATGGACTCGGCCTTCTGTTTAATGCATTCCCTGAAATGTGCCCATACTGGGATTTTACCAACTGGGCCATTAACTTATGTTTGAAATTGGCAAGAACAAGTGGAAAAACTATCAAACAACTGCTGCATATTTTGACCCTTTTTAGTTTCAAAAAGCTACAGGTAAAGTTCTTCTGCATTTTACTGATATTTATGAGGGAAAACAACAGTTACGTAAAGAATGGTCGCTTCCTGTCACTTCATGGGATCAGCACTGCCATGCAGTGAAACTTCAACCTGTCATGTCAAGGGACTGTGAGCTGTTGGAACATTGTCAGAATCTAGAGAACTGCTGGAACACTGTCAGACTCTAGGCACTGCCACAGCCCAGGAACAGCATTCCAGCATGTCATTCAAGAGGCTAGGAAAAAAGCAGTTCCCTTGTTAACATCTGAGATTCTCACAATGGTATCAAGATTATATTCTTCTGGCATGTGATGCCACATGGTTTGGTAGATGGGTACTAATGTTTTGGAGGAATCTGCCCCGTCCATCTTCTGGGCTGAAGATGGACATGGACATAAGAGATGATGGGCAATTTCAAAGGTACAATATAAACATTTGCCTGAATCTGCTGAGGAAAACAACCAAACTCACAAGCAGAAATTAATATCAGGCACCTCCCAAATATAAGGCATAATCAGTACTGCTTGAGCCAACTTTCTTGGTCCCTTCCATACTAACAATAGATATCTTGCTGAGAAACAATGGTTACATGTAAAATGAAAGCCTTCTCTTGCTGTCTCTTTCCGCAGACAATTCAGTCATATAATCATTAAAAATTACACCTCAGTCCCCACAGACAGACACAAAGAAACATGGCATCTTTTGCTGAATAAAACTGAGCTCCGGAAAGGTTATTATATATACACTACATGTAGAAACATGTAAAATAAAATTATAATTCTTATAGATATTTTATATAATATATCTTTTGTGTAATGAAGTTCTTGAGGAATTTCACAAAATTCAATTCAAGCACAGAGAGTGCTGATGGATGGTACAAGCATGCAATCTTCTGTTCCCACTGAACCACAGCACTGTCTTGGAAACTGTTAAAGTTTCGTGGGGCATGAACTTCTCAGAGCACATCACTATCACTCCAAGTAGGGACAGCAACTGGCTAAAGGCTGGATGATCGTGAGGTTGGAGATCGAGTCCCACTAGGGTCAAGAATTTTTCCTTCTCCATGTCATCCAGACTGGTTCTGGGTCCCACTCAACCTCCTATCCAATGGGTATTGGGGAAACTTTCCCCAGGGGGTAAAATGCCTGGGGCATTTAGTGCTGAAGTCAAGAAAACATCCACAACTCCCTATGTATTCAAGGTTTAGTGCTTAATTAGTTAATCACAGGGGCAACTTTACCTTTATCATCATCACTCCTTCAGTGTTAGGCCTACTGAGACCTGTTACAGATAAAATGGAGCATTCGGTATCCATGCTTCTGCAGACAAAACTCCTGCTATCCATATAAAACCATGACCCAACACCTCATCCAGAAATCTCTCACAAACAGGAAGTGCCGACATATAAAACGCCTCATGGATATGTTAAAAAACACCTGTTTCTGCAGTTAACACCATGGTCAGGGTCAAAGCTGATATACCAGTGGCACAGTTCATGGCTTGGGTTGCAGTAAACATGACTAGTGGTTACTGTTATTGTACATCTACCATACATATGTAATGTTCCTACTTTATTGCTATAACATGTATTATATATATTTTGGGTACTTTTTGTGATCTTTGATATTTTTACCAGTCCCCATAATGAACTCCTGGTTATCAGAAATCTTCTTCTATCAAAAACGGCCCATCTCCCAAACTATTCAAAAAGGCGGTGCTACACAGCATTCATTCAGAGGTCTTCTCAAACGTTTCTTTCTTTTTCATTGGGATCTTTAAGGCTTTTTTTTTTGTGGTATTATTCCAGAGTTCATTCTGTCAATGTATTCTTCCAAATTTCTTTTGTATTCTATAAATTCTATTATTTTGGAGTTAACAGTTTTCTCACAACTTTTTCATTTCTTTTTGAGCCGAAATGACCTAATATTCTTCAAAAATTAATAAAAGGTGACACAGAATCCCATATTTCACCACCATTTTCATGCTCTGAACAGTACCAGACCAGCCCACAGGCTTTACATAAACTGTAAATCTCAGTGCTATGACAAACCCTGTTGTGACTACAAGGATTCCATTGGAGTCCATCCTATACAACGCTGAAAGGCAACCGTCAGTCACATTCCCTGTGATAATGTGTCCTCCCACGAGGACATCATCAGAGCATTCAGCGCCACTGAGGAAAACAAAGTCAAGGGAAATGTGGATAAGCGAGATCACCACACTTATATCCCTTACATTACAGAACGACTGACTACATTATTAAGCTACTTATGAAGAGGAATCACACCATTCAAACCACTGAGCAAAATGATGACCTGTCTTAAGACAAATTAAGGGCAGGCAACCTCAAACACACACACCTAGTATTTAGAAGATCCCATGCAACTGTAGTAGAGTGAACAGTCAAACCAACCATTACATCCCTGCTAGGATATCAGAACACGAACACCAGGCTAAAGAACGAATGATGAGCAATGGCGGAATAATTTGACAAGCCTGAGCAAATATCTGTATTACCTACCACCTCTGAAATAATATTGAAAATATACTGCCTAGAATGATCAATTTCTAGCTTGGTCTGAACATGTTAAAGCTTCAGTAACTTCGGTGCTGAAATACTTTATTGGCTGGCATCAGGTATGATCTCACCAACACAGTAACCTGGCTTCGATTCTGGGTCACCTCATGTAGGATCACTCATATACAAAGTGATATTGGGATGAGTTTCCTCTAACTACTTTGGTTTCCCCTGCCAATTCTCATTCCACGAACTGCTCCATATACATTAATAATCTCACGGTTGATACCATGTAGCCCTGATACCGACGGCATTCTTAAATAACCAACTTAATAATATATGTATAAAAATGATTTCCACCATGCAACAAACAATTCTATCATTGAATTTGATTTGTTTCATTTTGGTCCGTCACACTAACAGTTACAATTACAAAAGACAAGTCCGTCCAATGTGACTATTTCAGTTATCTCACTTGGTGATTCACTAGCCTTACATGTTTCGATCCATTTGGATCATCTTCAGAGGCACCAAACACTTTTTTGAAACCACTATCACAACAGTTTTTAAAACTTTAAAACAACTTTAAATATTTCTATAACCAGAAAGGCTGCTGTGACTGATAGATGGAACATTGTTCACTTGGACATTACATGTGTATTTGATTGACAACTGCTGTGATAGTGGTTCCAAAAAAGTGTTTGGTGCCTCTGAATATGATCCAAATGGATCAAAACATGTAAGGCTAGTGAATCACCAAGTTAGATAACTGAAATAGTCACACTGGATGGACTTGTCTTTTGTAATTGTAATTTTATCATTAGTAGCAAATTATAAGAAACAGAAATAGCAACTCATCCCAAGTCCTACAATGGCTCTAATTCTGTATTAATTTCGAATAAAATTTGGTTTTAAGATACCGCAGCACTACGGTTACTAAAACTACACAACCTAAAATGGTTTGTTGGTACAACTGGATTCTGGTTCTTGCGTGATGTAACTGGGTGAGAAGATGGTGTCCAGTTTGGCTGAGGCCCAGTGAAGTGTGATGCTGCCATGGTAACAGCAGTAACTGTAAGGGTGCTTCAAGTCTCCACAGCTTGCTGACGTGGTGCCATCTGTGCATCAGTCACAATAAGAGAGTAGCGTGACAGATCAGTGGCACCAGCATACAATTATTGCATGGGATCTGAAACTATACATATCTGTAGTAGAGGATATTTTTCGTATCTCTCAAAACTATCCACAGTAAGTACTTGCTTCCATAAAGAGAAGCCTCAAATGACACAGAACCAGGCCCAAAATTGGCTAGGTGCAATCAGTGTTAGCACTGTGCATGCGCACTTTCGTTTTGCATCACGGTCTGTCTGCGAGGACTAGTGGTCGTCATGTGTCGGATCCCCATGTTAGAACTTGCATTGCTCCAGTCGGCTGTTGGGATTGAAGCGCGGTAGTACTTGCTGGATGTCTTGTTGAAGATTGGAAGCAATTCATTGGCTTCATTCGACAGGGCCTGCAACACAACAATATGAAATTACAGTAAAATCCCTATTTAATGAATCTCTAGTGGAATAGATTTTCTCAAACTACATTAAGGTTTTAACCAAATGGGGACTATGGAAATTACACCAAGAAATTGTTACAACGCTCGGAGCCAAAAGGAAGGACACATCACAGACACAGTACACACAGAAACGACTCCCATAGTGGATGAACCATACTATACGCGAGTTTGAATTAAGACATATATGTGGTGCAATCCAAAAGTTCCCGAAATATATTAATAAAAACTATTACATCTTACCTAGATCTTATTCTGTACCATCACCTTCAAAGTAGTCCCCTTGGGAGAGCATACACCGATCCCAGAGTCTCTGCCACTTTTCAAATGCATCCTGCAAGTCTTTCTTTGTTAGGGTGTTTAGTACCGTCTGCGTTTCCGCTTGATTTTCCTCAACTGTATCAAATCTTTGCCCTTTCAACTTGATTTTCATCTTGGGGAAGAGAAATGCATGGAGCTAAGTCTGGTGAGTATGGTGGGTGGGGAACAACTCCCATCTTGTATTTAGCCAAAAATTCCTGCACAATGTAAGCCGTATGTGGTCGTGTGTTGTCATGGTGGAGTACCCAGTTGTTCGTGCGCCACTTCTCTGGACGTTTTCTCCTCATGTCCTCCCTCAAATGCCTTAGAACATTGCGATAGAACTCTTTACTGACTGTCTGACCAGGAGGGACGAACTCCTTATGAAAAATCTCGTCAATATAAAAAAACAGATCAACATGAACTTAATGTTGTTCTTGACTTGTCGAGCTTTTTTTGGCCAAGGTGAAGAAGGGCTCTTCCATTGCGACGACTGCTGCTTTCTTTCAGGGTCACAGCCATAAACCCAACTTTCATCACCAGTGACAACCTTTGAAAGAAAGTTTGGATCCTCTTGACGCTGTTGCTGAAGTTCCCTGCAGACTTCCAAGCGATGCTGCTTCTGTTCATTTTGCAGCAGTCGTGGCACAAACTTCACTGCAATCCTCCTCATGTTCAGTTCCTCTGACAAAATTCGTTGACATGTACCATAACTTAGTCCTAAGGTGTTACAGAGGTCTTGGATGGTCACTCTTCAATCTTGCAGAATCAGATCCCTAACTTTCGCGACATTTTCTGGTATTTTGCCCGTTGACGGCCGTCCCGAACGATCGTCATCATCAGTCAATGTTCGGCCATTTTTAAAACGCTTATACCAGTTGTAAGTTTGTGTCTGGCCTAAACTGTTTTCACAAAAAGCTTGCTTTAACATTTGGTGCGTTTCCGCAGCGGTTTTCCCAAGTTTGAAACAAAACTTTATACAGACATGCTGCTCTCTCAGGTCAGCCATTGCAAAACCGCAGACTCATGGAAACACAATGGAAATACATTCACCAACAATAAACCCAACCACTTAACTCGATGCCGCTTGCCACACTGATTCAAGAAGGATGTGTGAGAAGACATCTAGTGGTATTTCGATGTACTCATAACCATTTGTGCGCAAAATTCAAATTTTGGAAACTTTTGGATTGCCCCAAGCAGATGAAAAATCTTAACAAGTTTTAGTATATACAAATTTTATTACAGTTGACGAATAATGTACTTTCTAAATAATTTTATGAAAGACACAAGATGGCAAACAATGTAATAGCTTAGCGTAAATAACGAACCTGAAAATGGCACTATGTTACCGAAACATGTAGTAAGAAGTGACATATGAAATTGAGTGCACTACAAGACAGCCATTACATACATATCATGGATGAAAATCAGTGCAACAGGACGCTAAAATACAGCATTAAGAAACTGTCCATTTACTTATAAGACTTCCCGCACACAATTATGATAAAATAATCTATTTACGTAAGTAGTCAGAGAAACCCTTTCTATACAGATAAATACAATCACATAACCAATAATAATTAATCTGTAAAAATAATTAATGATATATGAAATAAACACAGTGGTTGTAAGTCTGCTTCCATGGGACCAGAAACATGACCATCACACACAGTCACACTAAACTAAGGCATAAATTCTCAAAGGTTAAAAGCTTGTTACACCAGATGTGGTTTATTTACTAAATATAACTTCACTTAACCAGAAAAAAACATTCATTAAATGTTAGATTTCAGTAAATCAGAATTTCAACGTTGCTCAGGACTGCCACAGAGAGACAATGTGTGTCGTTATGTCGGATAGAGAAGGCAAAATAACATAACATGATAGCTCACAGTTAATCACTGCCATGGGACCCTCGAACCCCAAGTAACATACCAGGACTGGCAACTGAGAAGACCAAACATACTATTATCACTCCGACTTGCACAGTAAAATAATATGAAATAAATTCAGACAAGGATATGAAGTGAACTCATGTGATGGCAGCTTACCTTCATATAAATAACAGTGTCTGTACCATAGCCCTCACATGACAGCAGGACAAGATCACCGTGGAAGTAGCGAGCATACAGGCGAGAGATTGGAAGACCATACCCATAACCTGCAATACAGAGTATATTCTTCACCCACAGCAAACAAAACATTGGCTTCTGATCCTTACATTTTTGTGATGTGCATCTGATGTGTAATTTCGATTTTTGGGGTTTAGTGATCTGTCAACATTTTCAGCACAGAATGTGGCAAATCCCTGAAAGCTGAAACTAACAAAACACAGTGTTGCCACTATATGAATGTTAAATTATACTCTTTCGACTTATCAGAAGAGAAATAAGGAAAAAACACACACACATACATACATAAACAAACAAAAAATAAATTTACTAAAACAAAACTTACAACATTTACAATACAAAATATCAAGCCTGATTAAAGAGTTATCATGATTGGATAAATTATGTCATAATACTCGATACAAAGTTGTCCCTGTGCTTAATTAAGCACCATGCAATGAAGCTGTATGGGCAAGTGGCGGAAGCAGAGACATGAAACTGATTGTTCCCATTTAGCGCTGAAGGTTAAGAAACAATGGAGCTATGCCTACATATCTACCATGCCTTCATGGTAACTTAACCTGTAACTTCTACTGGCTGCACAAAAACTGACTGCCTACCAGCTAGTGGTACGGTGTGGGCATCAGACTTGGGGGGCTGAGGTGCGGTGGAGTACATGTAGTTGAACAGCAGATCCGTCTGACTGCGAGGAATGCCCCCACCTCGATCCGACATCTGTAACATGATGATGTATGTGGAGTACATGCAACTGAATGACATGTCTGCCTGCCTAGAAGGAATTTCCCCAACTTGATCTATTATCTGTAACATTATGTGTTCTGATATATTGAAATTGTTAAATGTTAAACTGTGAAATATTTGAAGTAAGCAGTGTTCTGGAATGTGGCACCGTGTAGATGTGGTGTTAACCGACGTTTCGGAGGAACGTATCGCCTCCATTTTCACGGTAGAAGGAAAAATAAGAAAATCTGAGAGTCCTCCCTTTAACCTTGACTTTCTCTCCCCCGACACAATANCAAAACCTCAAATCTTACATGAGAAATATTTTTTGTCAGACACAATGGTCAGAAGAGCAATCACTGTTGGGTATACAGGGTGTTTCACTACATATATACAGGGTGTTTCACGACTTTACGGCATAACTGCAGGAGGCGATTTCCTAGGTCTTTGTGATCAAAAAAGTTCATATAAACATGTTTCCGATTTTCGACGGTTAAGTAGTTATGACTGTTTTTTCATTCCTGTACATGCCCTTGTGTGAACCGCGTCTGTCAGCAGGTGGGTCGCTATTTTTAGCCAGCTACAGACAGAGCGTTCCCGTTATCTCGACACTTGAGAGCTACCTAAGGTGGGGTGGGTTGGTATGTCCAGCGCGGTTCACAACCGAGCGGCAGCCTGTGTTGCGGCCGGCAGTTGCATTTTCCAAAATCAGCTTTAAGCACCAATAAATTCAAATTAAAGGTAATTTCACGAAGTTAACTTTACATTCATACTTTAACTGTATCATGTATTATGCTGGTTTATAATTTTGTTCCCTTTTATTCTCAGTAATCGTTACTTTCTATTCTGAGTTTAAAACGGTCATAACTCCATAACCATCCAAAATCAGACACATGTTTATATGAAGTTTTTTGATCACAAAGACCTAGGAAATCACCTCCTGCAGTTATGCCCTAAAGTCGTGAAACACCCTGTATATGATATGGCTCAAACTTGGGGAAAGTGAGTGGCAAGAATACATGAAGAGCGAAGAGCTACTACTTTTTAAGTGTGGGGGTTATTCTGTAACACTTTCAGTATCTAGACTTCAGACTATCAAATGGTAAGATGAGCGCTGAACAATAACCTGAAATGATTTGGAAGGATGTGGTCATGGCCTAATCAAACATGCCTGGGTGGGGTCTGAGGAAAACCACAAAGACCACAGTCAGGATAGGTGGTGTCCCAACTGAGAATTGAACCGAAATCCTCCAGAATACATGTGTAGGCATCTTCTTCTAGATGAACCTTCTTAATGAAACACTGTTATGCTGAACACAGGAATGATTAATTGTACCTTGACACAGATGTCCTCTCGGCCCTTGACGACAGTAACTTCAATGGGAGGGTGGTGTTCTGCATTAGAGCCATGGTGCTCAATGACAGCTCGCATCGAGTTCTTGAACAACTCGAACAGCATGTGGTACAGATGAGAGGGCACATATACTATCCTGATGGGCACACCATGTTCCAGCTCTGTTCACAATAAAATATGGTGTGTTACTGGCACACACACTACAAGAAACATCCTGTGATCTGTGGAGCATGACCAAGAATTCATAGCTCATGTGCAGAAACACACTCTGGTACCTGAACAATAAACTCTGTATGATCCAGCCTTCAGCCTGTGCAGTTGTGTCTGGCAATCACAACAGTGCAATCCATAAACATTTGTCCCTCACTATGCTTTGCAGCAAGTGTATGTACAATATTCTGGCATGCAGACACGTTGCTAGGTAACGACTCCGCAAACAGACACAAACAGGGTTCCATGGCTACAGGAGGATACAATAATGGGAAGCAGTGTTCTCTGCGCAGTCTGTGCTATAGCTATATGATGCAACAATAGGAGAAATGATGGGAGAGGTGTTTTCTGTGCGGTCTGTGGTGAGAATACATAACGAACAGATTGTATTTGTGAGTTAGTCCGGCAGTTGAAAGCCTGTTAATACAGCTTGGAAGCTGCAGCTCAAAGGTGACAGCCAAAAAGGACAGGAGCCACTGGACACAAAAGCCAAGGATGCTACACTGTTGAAAGCTGCTACCAAGCAGCTCAGCGAAGACTGTGACAAAGAACACTAGTCTGTGTATGACAGTGATTTGTAAAGTGTAGTCACGAGTTGCTTAAGAGTTCAATAAATCCGATTACCAATAGTTACATTTCTTGCCCCAGATGATAGGTGAGGGTGATTGTGGAGAAATTGGTGGAATGAGGACTGGCAGGGGAAACCGAAGCATTCAGAGAAAACATGCCCCAGCGCCACTTTGTCCACCACAAATTCCACTTGACCAGACCCGTGATCGAACCCAGGCTGCTGCGGTGGGAAACCAGCGACTAACTGCTTGAGCTACGGCTTTTGAAGATCAGTAAACAATGGGTCAAAGAGAATAGTATATTTTGGGATATAACATTGTGCAGTCTGGCAGAAGTCCACCAACATTTCAAACGAAAGTTACTGTCTTCACCTCCAGATCTCTGCTTACCAGTTCCTTGCTTGACTTACTCTTCAATCCTGAAGATGGAAGCAGTACGCTGATGGACTTCTACTCGACTACACGGTGCTACATCCCAGAAAAAACAGTACTTTTCATAATCATTGCAGTAAGAGCCTAAAATCCAACACAACTGTAAAAAAATCTGGAAGGAAGTAAGTAAGTAATTGTAAGCTAACTTGAGACACTCACCTGGCAGCAATTAGGAAAACCATGAAAAACCTCAGCCAGGATGGTACGTGTCCTAGCAGGCATTCAAATCGACACATACTGAATACAAGTCAGTAAAGTTACCACATGAAACACTTGTCTGGGTGGGGAGGGAAGATATCATGGCCTGTTGTAAAGTACTGCAACACCGCTTCCCTGGAACGGACTTCAAAAGAACCACAGAATACCTCAATCAGGATATACAGTCTCCCAGTCAATATTTTAACTGGGGTTCCTTTGACTACAGAAAGTAGCAGTGTCAACCATTACACTATAATGCCTTACTCCACTTCTGAAATGTTGCTACCTTGTTCAAACATGAAGAGATTAATAGCCAAAAAAATATTTTAATCACAAACATATAGTACGTTCAGCAATCATTCAGGTGCCTGCATTAATGCAAAATTATAACACACATAGGTGGTAAAACTGTGGTCTGATAGAGGTTGTCAGAGGTTTCAATACTACTGGTATCACAGGCATACCCTGAACATGCACTCTGTGATTGTAGTCCGCAAGTGAACTATACCGACCGCCTCTGTGGTCTAGTGGTCAGCGTTCGTGGCTATAGATCCAGAGGTCCAGGTTCGATTCCCAGCGCTATCAGATTTTTTCTGAGAAGTAGTGGGTCTGGAACGGGGTCCACTCAGCCTCGTGATGATAATTGAGACGCTATTTTAAGGAAACAGCGGCTCCAGTCTAGAAAACCGAAATTAACGGCCATGGGGATTTGTTGCGCTGATCACGTGACACCCTCTATCCAAAAAAGTTGTCACCTGAACATCCACATTTGAAGTAAATGAGTGTGTAGCACACAGTTAATTTCCACCACATGCAATGCTCCTGGTGGACAGACAAAAGCAGTTTCAAACATTCCCACACCAGAGTGCACTACAGTAAATATACTGTGAAGGTTATGGGACTGAACTTGTGATACCTGAAGCCTGGTCAAGGCACTCCTGTGCATCGTCTACCTCACCATTCGGCACCAAGCCTGTGACACACAGGGCACATAATCAGCTGACATATTTCTCGCATTCAGACTACAAACCTGTACATTGCAGTCGCAACAAAATCCAGCCATTGGACCACAACCAGAGCCACTTGACATTATCACAACATCCGTGCTGTCTTACCCTCCTAAGTGACACTGTTCCACTCAGAGTTCAACATCAAAACTTTTCTTGCAATATGTTTTTTCCCATGCCAATACCATATACACTTCCTTCGTTTTATTGCTATGACAATGAACGTCATAAATGTAAAAGGTAAAGCTGTCCCTGTAACAGGCTGCAAAGGCCCATATGCATGTGAGAGGTCAAGGCTCCCACATCTTCTACAGTCAGCTCATAGATGGTGGTAAGGTTGTCAGCCTTACACACCGGCTGCCCTTTATCCCCCAGGAAGATTCCTGGTACTCATTTCTGTAAGAGGCTGAGTCAACCCCAGGGCCATAGTGTGGCTGGAAGGATTAGGTCAATTGAAAAATCCAATGACCTCGTGGGGATTCGATCCTGCAACTTTCCAGCTTGTAGCATAGTGCCTCAACCAAGTACGGTACTGCATGCCCCCCCAACAGATGTCAGCCCCACACCGAACAATGTTCACTTCATTACCATTAACAACCTAGCAACATATCAATGCAACGAAATTCAGCACTCCTATGAAGTATATATTCACACAAATGACACTTCAGTAAAATGAGAATTTCTGAAACTGTGTACAAAAATTTTACAAAATAAATTAACTAACACCATGTCACACAGTCCCTAAGAAACTGATAGTGACTCACCTGACCAAGGAATTTTTTGTGACTAAAAAAAACCCAAAAGTTCAACACTGTGTTCACAAAAGGCTGCAACCGGAGCTTACACATTGCACTACTGTATGCACATACAAGTCTTTTACANGGGGGGGGGGGGGGGAACGAGGGCCTTTATGCTTAGTCCAAAAATGTGCCCACTGTACCACACCCTGATCATACATGAAAGAACTGCAGCATGAATAGCATGATAACAGGAGAAAACCAAAGTACTTAGAGAGAAACTTTCTGCACTGTCACTTTGTTCACCACAAATCCCACACAGACATCCCTGGGACTGATCCTGGACCTCCATAGTGAGAAGATCGCAACAAACCAACCACCTGAGCTTATCACCAGCTTCTCACTGCAGTGAGTGCAGTTGCAACGTGGCATATTTTCTCTGGGTACTTCAATTTCCTCTGCCAATTTTTACTACACCAAGTGCTTCACACTCACCTATCATCTTGGGCTCGTATAAAGGTCCATTCATGAGGTGCATACCAAGGGACTCACTCACACCCTACAGTAATAATAATAATAATAACAAGTGCTTGAGTTGTGGCATGGCCTTACAGACACACAAGCTTCGGGCACATTTTGTGGGAATGTGAGATTGCCTAATTAATTCACTGAGTCCATCTACTTATATGCATATAATCATTATACCGGCCTGGGTGCACGTTATGTGTCCTTATTAAGACATGCATAAAATATATTTTTGATTAAAATGGGAAAAAAGGCTGTATATTTATATTGAAATGCAATATACTATAAGTAAAGTAAAGCTACGTTGTGGGTCCCACATTTTCTAGACAATCTGCTCAAAGATGGAGGTAAGGTTGTCAGCCTTACGCACCAGCCATTCTTTACTCCCCAGGAAAATTATTTAATTAATTCCTGGTACTCGTTTCTGTTAGAGGCTGAGTGAACCCCAGGGTCATAGTGTGGCTGAAAGGATTAGGTCAACTGAAAAAATTCATTGACCTCATCGGGACTTGAACCCACGACCTTCCGGCTTGTAGTATAGTATACTACCAATATGAAGGTTTATATGAGATATGGAGGTAAAACTCCATATATTCTAGATGGAAGTGAAAACTGCTTCTGCAGGCCTGTTCCAACGCTTTCCTAGACTTTGTACTAAAGAAAGAAACTGCAACATTCTACCAGGAACAGAACTCAGACCATCAAGTCTATAAATTTAAAGACTGATAAGAAAACAACAGAAATCATGAAGAAAACTCAGCTGAAACTCTGCACACTCACTTCCCCAGTAATGACTGTGCAATATTTCATCTGCTGAGACACATGGGAAGTGTTAGCAACCCAAGTTATGAAATGTATGCACAGTGTAACAATTTTAGTGCATTCACATCTTCTTCTTTAAATGTCCCAGAAATGTCACACTATGTGCACACTTCCTAACTTGTTTTTCTGACACTTGCAGTGTGTAGCAGCAGACAAAACTCTGCACAGAACCATTGCCTGGAAGGTGAAATGCGTTTAAAATATATTTGAGGCTGTGTCACCATCAGATAATGATGTAGATCATAAGTCATCATCAGGAAGTTACTAAATTATATGTTCAACATTTGATGGGATCCAAAATCATCATACCAGAGATCCTGTTGAGTGCACAGGACCCTTCCTCTTCAAGGTTGACCACTCAAGATGTGATCTATGCTCGGAGATGTTTTAGACAAATAATACTATAAATGTGCAAAATTTTTGATGAGGTCCCAACATGGTAACTGGAGTTACTTCCTTCTGAGCTAATATAACTACTGACTAAATTTAAAATTCTCTGAAACAAAGAAACCTGTAGCATTACAGCATAATCTGCCCCGAGTCATAATAACATGTTCTGATGCAGTTAATCTTTGAAATTCTTTTCCTATAACGATGCATGCAACCAGAAGGGTCACCATCAGTTGCATCATGTTCTATAATGTTTTTCACTAGAACTGGTGGATACAGCATACACAAATCACATGCACCATGGCCTGGAAAGAAGCACGGAAACACAGAACAAACAACATTATGAAACACTGACTTCCAGTTGACGACGACTGTTCTGTTCAATAAATTTGTATGCAAATAATGAATCATGAATCAACAAAAACAATGCCTGTGAATACTGCATATTAATTTGCAGGCTTAGTTACGCAAATCCACGTCTTTTTCTACCACCAGAAAACAAGATTACAGCACTATGCAAGGAACAGATATAAGCTTGCGACAACACAGTTTGGTTATTGGTGGTTATATCATGCGTCTTTGTGACCCTGCTGCTTATAAGCAGACCTCCTCTGTCCTGACGGGTCACTCGAAGAGCAAAATTCAACTCAGCCACATGAAAAACACGTTATATATGACAAAGATGCTTACTTTTTGAAACCACCAGCAGAGACTAATGAACCAATTCTAAAAAACTGTTCTAGTCTTTGCATAATGGCCAGGCACGTTTAAAAAGGGTGGCATGCAGTAGCGTAGTTGGTTGAGGCACTATGCTACAAGCCAGAAGGTAGGGGGTTGGATTCCTGAAGAGGTTAATGAATGTCTTCAATTTACCTAATCCTTCTAGCCGCAATATGGTGACGGGGTTGACTCAGCCTCTAACAGAAATGAGTACCAGGAACATTTCTGGGGGGTAAAGGGCGGCCAGCACGGGAGTAAGACAACCTTACCACACGTCAGCCGATTGTCTAGAAAATGTGGGAGCCTCAACCTATTGGCCTTCATGGTCTATTACAGGGACACCTTTACCTTTTCACCTTTTATGTTTAAAAAACTTATATGATTTTAGGGGTGATATGTTTTAAAAAAAAACTTCTATTTTCTGAAATGGAAATTAATTTATGCTGATATTCTGCTAATATTGTGGCTCTCAACTGGCAGTAAACTAAACAGGTTATGCAACAACATAAATAAAAATGTTTTCAGGTATGCAACAGAACTGACCAGGCACTTGAATGGTTACAGAGAAAGGAAGTTTCTTTTCTTTTAAGCTCTATGACCAGGGATGGTTTTCATAACTATCTGGAAACTTCATGCTATTAATTAAGACAAAGTTTTGAGAAAGTTCATCTGTTTCTAATTTGGGAGGTGGTATTTCTGGTCACCTGGGGCAAAATTTTAGCTAGCACATCTGTCCCGACTGAGTTACACGTTCACGCAGTTTCTAGCAAGCCCATAAGCTTTCATCTGAAATAGTCAGTCTGAAATTCATGAAAGGAAATCACTGCACAAGCAACTAACCATTGTGTTCCTTGACTATAAGGTCTGGTGAAGCAAGGTAGTACTGGTCACACAGAAACCTTGCATTCTCATATGCATCCTTCACGACACCAACCAGGTCACACTGAGGATCTATGCAGCCCACATGACGACTGTCATTTAACTGTCCACCAAACAGCAGTGCTGCAAACATCAAACAGTTCCATATAAGAATAAAAGTTGGCACAATTCATACCAATACAATGAAACTGTAGCCATAATCATCCTTTCTCCAAGAATTTCATATGATTACCATCTTTTGAAAACATCTGAGATCTGAGGTTCTCATGGGGGGGTAACTATTTTCTTGGGTGCTATGCCGTGTAGTTGGGTAGAAGCTTACACTTCAGAGGAACGACTGCTGCCGTCCTCTGGGCTTAAGAGCAAGGCAAGGAGATGCACAGGAAGCAACGAGCAAACTAAATTTTACTCTGCTAGCTACCAATGTGTTCAGCAAACTTCTGCCAGGCTTCATGGTGTCATACTCTTTATCCTACAATGATATTACCAAAAAATTGTAAAATATAAAATTTGTGGCTCTGAAACATAATGAAGGAACCTACCATCAAAAAATGTCGCTAGCATAAAGAAGAATATAAAACAAGATAGCTATTGAACTGAATAAAAATTTATGGACTTTCATGCCAGTTACCAAATTTAGTCCATCCCATTTTTGGTTAGAAAGTTATTTTTACAGTGCTGAAGTTTTTATTTTCACACTTGCAATTATTAGTTTTATGAGATTTCTGCTATTAAAGGCAGTGTCACAAAACCTCTTGTACAGATACTGTACTGGTCTCTCCTAACCTCCAACACAGATGGCAGTAACTGGTGCATATGGCCACACCATAGCTCAAGTGGTTAGTCGCTGGCTTCCCACCGCGGCGGCCCAGGTTCAAACCCAGGTCTAGTCAAGTGGGATTTGTGGTGGACAAAGTGGGGGCAGGGCAGGTTTTCTCCGAGTACTTCGGTTTCCCCTGCCAATCTTCATCCCACCAATTGCTCCACAATCACCCTCACCTATCATCTGGGGCTGGTACAATAGGCCAGAAGTGGCCGCAGTACAAGGGACTTAGTCCCACCCCACTAGCAACAAAAAGAAATTAGTCACCTGTACGTAACAAATTGGCTGTTGAGAAACACAACTAATTTATTAGCTAGCAAGTTAGTTACTAATTTCGTTTGTTATATATTTCGNGTCAAAAAAAGATCTCTGTCCCTACCGAAATTCTCTCGCTGCCCAGCCCGCAGCTAGTCACAACAAGGGCCTTAGCTACCTGCCTCTGTAACTGCTAAAGTAGTACTAATATTTTGTTTTCCCACTCCCACAGTTAGTTTGTGCAGGGTTCACAACCCAATGTCGTAAAATACTTCAATTTTCTCCTTGGGTCCTGTCACAGCAAATTTAAATTTTGTTTTAAAATTCGTTCAACATCCATCCTCCTGATAATCCACGTAAATTATGACATTTTGAAAAATACTTCACAGTGAACATTCAACGCAGAGAAATAAACATTGCTAATGTATGCACCTGTACACTAATTACCATCACTGGGTAGATGCAGATGTAGCTGCACATCTGAAGTATCTTTTTGAGTACTTACATTCAGTGGAAGGTTATGCAAGAAAAATGAACAGTACTCAAAGTTATACAGGGAAAATTACGTCTCTCTGTCTGTCTGTCTGTCTGTCTGTCCATACTGTCGCAGCAGCAGGGCGCAGTGGGGGCATGTCCTCTGGCTTTTTCATGCTTCTCATGCCATCTGGAATTTTCGGGAAGCCAATCAGTTGAAGAGGAAGACCAAGGTCACCTACGAAGATTCTAGAGCTTTTTGCTATGGGCAACATGCCTATAAAAGGAGCAAGCAGTGAGCTAGTTAGATTGTTAGTGAGTCAGTCTGTTAACAGTTCAGTGTATTGAGGAGCACTGAGGTAGAATTCAAAGGAAGCGAGTGCAGTGCTGTGCAGTAACAACTGAAGCGGTTGTTACATATACTGATAACTGCTGAGATATGCTTAACCTCTAACACTACAAAATGGATACTGATTAAAACTGGTTTTGAGGGTCTACACTACAAGTTCTCATACATATTCGACTCTGATTCACATTTGTTCAAAATATCCCTCAACTGTGACAATGATGAAATAAATAAAGCAGAGTATAGGAAGAAATTACAGGAAAAACAGAAAATCTAAGACAATTTCACCGATTAGTTGAGGGATATACTTCGGAATTATTAAATGCCAAAGACAAGAAAAATGTCTTTATTTAAAAATTATTACACATTCATGCTGATGTAGAGTGAAGAAACATAAACACAAACACAGGAAAATATTGGCAGTCTAATGGGAGCTCAGATGAGATTAGTAAGAAGTCTAGAGGGGAAAATGACGAGAGAGAGAGAATAAGAAATGAAAGAATTGGACAGAATTTAGAGACACAGGAAGATATTAATAACAGAATAAAATGGTATGACCATGTTTCATGAACAACTGAAGAGAGACTCAAAAAGAAGGTTTTAAAAGGAGAACAAGAGGAAAACAGGCACGAAGAAGACAAACGAAGATGGGAACATGTTAGAAAAAAATGCCATGCAGAAGGATGGAAAGTGAAAAGGGAATCTTCAGAAGACAGCAATGGGTGGAGATGCTTGGTCGCTAGATGTTTCATTTAACTGTGGAAATGGTGGGGGGAGGAGAAGAAGAAGCTCAAATCAAACTTATAGTTTTCTCAAAAACCACTCACTCTACCAAAAAAAAAATTGGTGGAAGACATAAAAGAAACCAGGGAGTCAATGGAAAAATAGGGGTTGTATCATGGAATTTCACAATACGTACACATTTTCATGAACATATCCTTTCCACAGACGCAGTGACATGCTGTACATACGGAACATGTGAGCATACTGAAGTTAATGGTGGTGACCGCATGCGCCGTTATTACAGACATATGCCTAAATAAAGAGGCTGAGTCCAAATGGGGAACTCACTGTGCTGATTGATCAGCATGCGGATGCTGATACGGGACATGTAGAACCGATCCAGGAAGTACTGGATACTGTTCTCTATCTGGTGGTCTACTTTATGGGACTCCTTAAGTTCCAGCACACCCTGTGCCATTGTCTGCACAACATCTGTGTGGCGGTTCCGTATCTTTACCAGCGCCTGACAGAACCTGAAACGATACATCACATACTGTTTACTATGGCCTGGCAGGAAAGTGGGTTAAATCTTGCTGCTTGGAATGTGCTCAGTTTATTTCAGGCATGAGAAATTAACATAGAAGAAAAGTGAGAAGGCCCACACTGAGATCGTTGGAGAATGTAGCGAATGATTTATGAGAGCTGAAAGTGACAAAATGGAGTATAACTCCAAGCATTTCTGCACTATGTGGAGGTGACTGCTTAGCTTCACACACTGGCCAGTTTACCTCCAAGGGCAAAGTCCCTGGTTGGATAGGCCCCACAGCCAGTATGTGGACATGACGGAGTTGAGAAAAACCGCTGCCCCCACTGGGAATCAGACTTCGATCCCCTGGCTTCTCAGCACAGAGCCTAGTCATAACACAGGCTGAGATATCCTGCCTCCTCAAAACTCATTACTTCTATTTAATAGTATATGGTTTCTACTGAATTATTACCGAACTGAAGTGTGAATTATAGTGAGTTGTGTAATCACTTAGCATGAAGCTGGTGATGACCTCAATGTCTGATACTGTGACTGATAACTTCAAAAGATTTGTTTGCTAATGACATGACAGACTGTATAGACAACTAAGTGCTGGTGTAAATAGGACTATTCTCCTTCTGCGTAAGAGGCCTTCCAAGTTTGTATAAAAGTATTATTAAATGCTGGGTTCAAACCATTTCCCTGGGTATCAGCAAAGGGATTACAGTGTTCATGTCCGAATCAGTACTTGATATGACCTGTTGCTGATTTAGTGTAGCATGTTTGGGTCTCTTTTTTTATATTTTAATACAAGAAAACGATTTTAGATAAGCATAAAGGTTTGTGATGGGAAGCACTGAAGCATATACTAGACTTTTCATTGTTTCACTTTGCCCCCCAACATACAATATTCTCAAAAACAGCTCTGCTTTCATCATGATGTAAATGTATGGACTTCTTCTGCTCCTTCATTGCATAATGTTATGACTGGCTCCTATGGATTTCACGACAGTTGGTCATGTTCTTAAAATGCTGTCAGCGAAGAACAGCTAGGCATGTAGACAGACAGACAAGCATGCACACAAGGAAATTATAAAATTCATTCTGCTTCACATATTAAACAAAATGGACACCACATTTAGATTTTAAAATAACTACATGGATTTGTGTTAAGTATTTAAGTTAAGGAACTTGGTCGAAAGAAAGCAAGGGAAATGGGAGAATGTCAAGAAAACTTCCAGCAGTAAAGGTTTTTTCTTCATTCAATTTGGATTTGAGGTCCTCACAGCAGTGACTATGAAGATTATTTATCTTCTGGGATGACACCGTGTAGTCTGGTAGAAGTTCAATGTTGTTTGGGAGGAATATACTGTTTCCATCTACCAGCAGGTAGCATGCAGCAAGCCAGAGCTCTTCATACTTAGTGCTACGAGAAACTTAGATCCAATTTAGTTATCCTCTATGGGTCGGTTACTCTCTGTAATGTCCACAGTTCCAAAAAAGCTTCATTCTACTTGCTTCTCACTCATTGCTGGCTTGTTTCTGTCTTTGCCCTGAAGACTGATGTAGCATATTTCTCTGAAATGTTGGAGAATTTCTACCAGATTACATGGTGTCACATCCCAGAAGAAAGTGATCTTCAAACTCTAATATCTGTGTTGTGTGTTTCTAATGAGAATCCTTGTGGGAAGTTTCTGTTCTACAAGAAACACGAACATCACAATATAATCTGTCTGTGAGTGCACATACGTGTCCAGCACGCCATCGCTGACATCCGTCTTCTCAAATTCTAGGATCTCCTGGAAGCTGCGCACGTACCACTGATTGACCAGGTTCACGCTCGGCATGCGCAGGAGGTGGTCTGGCAACAGGTGTATCTCCTTCATGATGTTGGCTAGCCTGACTGGCAGTTCCTTCCTCAGGAATACGAATGATTTGCGCTGACATGCACTCAGACCTGTCAACATCAAGAATGGTAAATATTCTGGGACATGATGTTAGAGATCAACAAGTTGTAATCTGGAGGTATGTAGAGGAGAGAACTCGGTTAGTACAGAGCCTGGGTTGTGGACTGGATGGCTGATGGATCAGGGCTCGATTTCCAGCACGTGTAAGAAATTTCTCCCTTCTCTACAGTGTTCAGACCACTGCATTCAGCTGCCAGAGCGGGTGTCAGGTTCAGAATATGTAGAGAAATCCCACTCCCCCATGGTTCTTTGTGGCATGTTGCTTAGTTAAGCACATGGATGACATTGGCTTTTACATCTAGAGGTATTTTGGGAAGCTCTGTGGGAATTAAAGAGCTTCACGGAAGTATACAGTGAGGACAGAAACTGGTTCAGGACATGGTGTAACAATATGCTGCCTGATCAGAGCTACTGTGCACCTCATGGAATGGTGATAAACAAGTATGGAGCAATGGCGGAATGATTAGCTAGGGCTAACCAAAGATATGGCTGCTCCAGTTCTACTCTGTCAACCACATATCTCAGATGAAGTTACTTGGGACTGAATGAGGTGAAAAATCCATGTCTAACTGCCTGACATGATAATATTATGAAGCTAATGTTGTGTCTATATCAGAACTTTGAACGGGTTCATTTTAGTTTTCATGAAAGGCTCTTAATCTTCTGAAATACAGAGATTAGCACATGCATCACCTGTTTTGGCACTAAAAGAAATTGTGAATTTTGCATATAACATGAATTTACATTTTGAAGAGAGTTCTGTCTTCTGGTAGATAAGACACTATACCCTGCTCAAAGTCAACCACTATTTCGGATGAATATGTCTCTATCTTCAGGGTTGAAGAATAAGCCAAGCAATTAACCAGCATGATGCATATAGCAAGCATAGCTGTCCCTCCATAACGTCAGCTGACTTTCAACTGATTACATGGAGTTACAATCCAGAACACACAACTCTTTGTAACTACTGTTCTGTTCTGTTCAAATTCTATCATTTATGATTTGTTTAATTCTCACAATAAACAACAATCATTTTCCTACACAGCATTAACTACATGGTCTTCATTATGGAGACTGACATGTTTCCTGTGAAATTTTAAATATTAAACAGGCGATTTTCAGGCTTCAGACGGATTATACCTTGCTCATACAAGGTTTATTTACTCCTACAAAAGGTATTCAGGAAATGTTTAATGAAGACTGGACAGGATAAAAAGGTAAAAGGTAAAGTTGTCCCCGTGCTTAACTAATTAAACACTATGGCAAGGTGGCATATGGGGGAGTGGATGTTTAGATCCATATTCTTTTGACCAAGGCACTAGCTGGAGGTGAGTGGTCAGTTTCACGCCCTTGCCATTTTACCCCCGGCTAAAGAGGCCCCAGAACCGAGTGGATAGGAGGCTGAGTGAACCCCAGAGCTGGTCTGGACGATATGGAAAAGAGAAAATTGTGACCCTACTGCTACTTGAACTCCAACCTCTCTGTCCTCCAGCCCATAGCCAGTCGCTATATCAACTGAGCTAACCAGGCTCACATGATATTAGTGAATGATGAATTGGAGAGGATCAGGAATAAGGCGGTCATGAACTAATCTGAGGTAACCTCTAGGCATTTGCACAAAGGGGCGACAGGAAAAACAAATGAAAAATCCCAGTCATGATAACTGGTCTCCGAGCCGAGTTCTGAACCCGGGGCATCCAGAATACGAAGCAGGAGAGCCATCCACTTGACAACAGAGTGTGACAGATCAAATTCTTTATCATGAGCGAAAGCAACTACATACTGCTGCTTGGGAGGAACTGTAAAGTGACCAGAAACGATCTCCGGACAGGAGCTTTGCCACAAAATGGGACAAGAAGAAATTACAGCGGGAACTGAGAGGTGGGGGGGTTGGGGGCATTAAAGTGGAATCTTCAAGCGAACGGAAACAGAAGACGATCAAAAGGAACTTGAACGAGGAAGCTCTAAAAGGTCAGAAATCATGAAGAGGAATTCCGAAAATGGCCGACAATACGGCCCAATGAGGGCAGTTCGTGCCACCACATTTCTGTCTGCTTGCCTTGTGCTCCAACACCAATTATGTTTATTTTAAATATTCGAGTGCTGGCATTGCTCTCAGCAGCTCAGACTAAAGGAGTATAGTGTAAAATGGTAGTATACGAGATGAATGGCGGATGGAAAAGGATTTGGGAAGAACTGTTCACGGTCCAATCGAGGTACTATCCCGGAATCTGGCTGGAGGGACTAAGGAAACCAACGATAAACCGGTATAATCATTGTCTCAGCTGAGATTCGAACACAGTATCTCCCGAACACATGTCAGAAGCGTTACCGATGGGTCAACCTACTCGGTGTATCCTTATGGAAAGTCTCGGGTTCGATTCCCGATGAGCTCAGAGGATTTTTCAATTGACGTAATCCTTCCAGCAGCACTATGCCCCTGGGATCGACTCAGCCTATAACAGAAGTGAGTACCAGGAATCTTCCTGTGGGTAAAGGGCGGCTGGAGAGTAAGGCTGACAATCTCACCAATATCTGTGAGCTGACTGACTAGAAAATGCGAGAGCCTCAATGTCTCACAACCCTGTGGGCCTCCACAGCCTGTTCCCTGGATAGCTTTACCTTACTTGACTTAGTAGTTACGAACAGGAACCGAAAATGACAGGTAACGCTGTTCTGTCGTTCCCGTTATGTTAGCCGAGGGTTGCTACCAGCACATGGCAGAGGTGGCAGCAGTTACGAAGAGCAACACAACATGGCAAGACGGCAGCAACAATAGGGACTGGAAGTTATTCTGCGATCGAGCTGTCGGTACTGAAAACATGTACAGGTATTCACAAAATTTGAGTATTTCGCATTAAAGTGGATTTCAAACTGCTGTATTGAGGTCAGGTATGTCTGAAGAAATGTTCTTCTTTTACAGGCTGAGTTCAACGAGAGTCATATTCCTTAAAGCCGGAGGCAACTTCTGATCCACGTGCATACGCAACCACACCTAGCCAATGACCCGGAAAGAACTCAAATGGTAATTATTAAGAATAATTATAGAGGCAAACATCACGACCCCGATGTCTCACATAATTACACAGGATGGCTAGGCCGGACGTGACGTAAGCAAGCATTTACACACGGTACTATCAGCCGACTTGCAGGAAACTTGTTACACTGCGTCATCGTTACTAATTTTTACGGTTTCTTCCACCACCGTGACCTTGCGAGTCGTAGGTGGAGACGAAAAGGGAAGTCTCAAATCTGAGACAGTAAAATATGGTCGCGGGTCCCATCGGACTCGGACCCAAGAAAGAGTGCTCTGGCAACGGCCAGCAGCATATATAAAAGACAGACCCGTCCTCTCGTTAGAGAGGGCGCCCCACAAAAGGAAGACCGTAACTGTCAAAGAGTAATAAATATTTGGTCATAAGCCCTAGATGGGGCTCGACACCGTCAGTCGCGATGTGACTTTGACTCAGACGCATCCAGTAGAGTAGCAGTGAAATGGAGAGACGAGTTTCGAGACGCCAGCCTGCCAGGGCATGAGCTAGGGTGCACAGGAATTGGTGTCGAGTCTTTGAAGTGCTAGTGAGACAGTTATCAATCCGTTGCCAGGATACGGCTAGTAGAGAGAGACTGAGAATCCTAGTGCGTGTGGAATGGTGAACTGTACAGTATTTAGAATAGCGACAGCGCTGTGGTTACCTGTAGTCCCGAATTGTGAAAGCATAAGGTGCAATAAATCCAACCATCCAATCCAAAACCCATGGTCTAGGCTTTTTTTCTTCCAAGACAGCATATCGACAATTGGGATTCTAAAGGGCCCTGACAATGGTGTATAACGCTCAGAATTACTGGGGTTTTGGACCTTTTCCATCGTCCGGTGTTTTAGAGGGGTTAGCTCTTTCGAAGGGACCCAATTCAGGAGGTGTCTAAACCTTCACCTGAGGAAGGAAACAGATACAGTTTCCGAAACGTCGTGTTTTCTAGTCTCCAGAATACCGGACGATGGAAAAAGTTAAAAAAAAACAGTAATTACGGGCAACTGGGTTTGTTTCCGTAATGAGGTTTGGGGGGGTTCCTATTTACCAGATGTCCTGTGATCGAGGCTCTTTCTAATGTAACCAATCGAGCAAGAACCTTCCCCCCTTTACACCTGACGACGGAAATACAACTAATTTTCGAAATGTTGTTCTTGAAAAAAAAACCGTAAGCAATTTCCATAAGAATAATGTTTAGCGTTAATTCCATGTGTCGGAGTGGTGTGCACGTTACACGGGCAACCCCCTCCCCCCAAAAGGAATCATAAGTGACCCAAACAGCGCGGAACAACCTCTCCACCAGATGGTGGTCCAATTACGGGGCTTGCAGTAATGGATATCAGGGTTCCGAAATTTGGGATTTCTCGGAAAAAGTTAACTAACGACGGCGGAAGTGTCACAGCTGAGGCGGTTACTTGCCGGCTTCCCGCCGTGGAGACAATATTTCGATCCCACATTTGGTCATGTTGGATTTCCGGTGGACTGCCAACTGTCATTCTGCTCCCTGCTCCATCCGCAGCCGGTACAGCAGGCTCAGCAGCAGCCAACGTAGCAACCGGACTCAACGTCACCCTCACCCCACGAATAAAGAGAAAAGAAAACATGAACGCTGGCTGCTAACCGCGCTGTCTGTGGTTCAGTCTCGGGTAGAACTCGAGTAGGTCTATCTCCGAGTCTCTTTGGTTCCCCCCAGCCTACAATTCTATAATTAAAAAAAACTCCCGTGATTTCAGTTCGCAAGCGAACTATACCGACCGAGCGATCGCCGCTTGTCGCCGAAGTTTAGTGCCAACTTCAGCGGATAGAGGGTGTCGCGTGGTCAGCGCAACGAATCCTCACAGCCGTTAATCTCGGTTTTCTAGACCGGAGCGGCTATGTCCTTGAAATAGCTCCTCAATTATCCTCACGAGGCCGAGTGGGGCCCCTTCCAGACCCACTACTTCTCAGAAAATCTTTAG